GAAATAACTCCATTTAAAAATGGGCAAAGGAACTGAATAGATATTTCTCCAACGAAGATAAACAACAGGTATATGAAAAAGTGTTCACCATCACCAATTATTAAAGAAATGCAGATCAAAACCACAATGAGATATCTCACACCCTTTAGGATGTTCACGATAAACAAAACAAAACAACCCAGGAAATAGCAAATGTTGATAGGAATCTAGAGAAATCAGGACCTTTGTGCCTGCTTGTGGGAATATAAAATGGTGCTGCAGTTATATAAAGCAAAAGGAGTGTCCTCAAAAATTTAAAAATAGAACTATCTATATGACCTAGCAGTTCAACTTCTGGGTATTTACTCAAAATAGCCGACATCAGGAACCCAAAGAGATTTGCACTTCAGTGTTCATTGCAACATTATTCACAGTAGCCAAGTAGTGAGGACAACCAAAATGTCCACTGGCAGATGAACCTATAAAAAAAACCAAAAACTGTAGTGTATACATGAAATGAATATTACTCAGCCATAACAAGAGGGAAATCCTATTATACGCCTTGTCATAGGTAAACCTTGAGGACAGCTTGCTAAAAACCAAGCCAGCACAGGAGAAATAATGCCACGATTCCACTTATGCGAGGTATCTAAAATCGTCAAACTCAACGGAAGTAGAAAGTACAGTGGTAGTTGCCAGGGGCTGCGAGGGGAGAGAAATGAGGAGTTGCTGTCCAATGAGTATAAAGTTTCAGTCATGCAAGATGAAAAAGTTGGCCAGAGCTGCTGGCCAATACTATGTTTAGAGTTAACTATACCATATAGTACTCTAAAAAAAAATCTGTGGAGGGCAGATCTCATGTTATGCATTTTTTAGCATCATAAAAAAAAAAAAGTGAGTATACCTCACAATAGCAATCAAAGAAATGCAAATAAAAAATTATCACCTGTCACATTAGCGAGGGTTTTAAATGCTGGTGAGAGTTCCCTGAGGCAGGCTCTCTCATTTACTGCTAGTTACAGTGTAAATTGGCAGGCATAACCGTTTTGGAGAACACTTTGGAAATATGCATCAAAGGGTCTTAAAAGTGTTTATACCCTTTGATGTAATATTTTACTTGTAGGAGTCTGTTCTCATGCAGTAATAACAAATGCAAATACGTTTATTATTTATAAGACCAAAATTTAGAAATCTTCCCAATGTTCCAGGAGAGAGGAATGGTTAATAGAGGCTGACATATATGATAAAACAACAAAAATGTTTATAGAGTTTACTGACAAGAGAAAACCGCTCACGATATAATATTAGGTGAAAAAAGGGGAGGGTAACAAGCTGTATAAAGGGTGATTACAAATTATGTTATCACTACTACGTCAAAAAAGTTAAAATAAAAAAAGATGAAGGAAATCCACCAAAAATGTTATATAAGGCTGTTTCTGGGTAATGAGATTATGGATGACTAAAACAAAACAAGACTTTAAAGTATCCTTTTACTCTAAGTCTGCAAACCTAAACAGGTAAGGTAGAATATAGAGTGATCAAAAATTGGACTCTTTCTTCTAGAAATACTGGAAGGTTTTTGATTGGCTTTATTCAAGGTATGGTTAAGACAAGCAAACTTATTCACCAAATGTTTTCATTCTAACTTAAAAGAGGTAGACATCACAGGGAGAGAAATCAAGCGAAAGCCTTACATGATTTATTTGTGTAGTAAACATATGGCCTTTCGTAGCCCAAGAAATCGCATCAACTCCCTCTGGGATGCAGTGGGTGGGTCATCCTCTTTAGGAGAGTAATTTAGGAGAGACATAAATGGAATGGTGAGCAGGGAGGGGATGGGCGGGTCTGCCCTGGCAGCTAGGTCGGTCAGACCCACCGTGGCTTTCAGTGGGTTGGCAGATGGCACAGCCAGATTGTCCCACCAGCCTGAAGCTACAAACTAAAACAATTACATTCAAGAAGAGATAAATTTATGCTACAATCAGATTCCTAATATTAGCGAGGGATTGGTAGGGGTAATGTTCTAATGGGCTTAAGTTGTGAGCAGAAAACTCTAAAAAAGAGGGGGGCAGAGAAAGGTGCAAGCTGCCTTGCAAAGGGACATACATCACCAACTCTCTGAAAAGGTTAAATTTATGCCCTGCTGCTCTGCTCCCCTCCCACCCCTGCCATTTGATGCCACTTAAAAGTGTTTCTTTACTTGGGTGCCTGGGTGGCTCAGTCAGTTAAGCATTCGATTTCGGCTCAAGTGACGATCCCGTGGTTTGTGAGTTCCAGCCCTACATCTAACCCCACGTCAAGTCCCGCATGGAGCTCTGTGCTGACAGGTTGGAGCCTGCTTCAGATTCTGTGTCTCCCTCTCTCTGTTCCTCCCCTGCTCACACTCTGTCTCTTTCTCTCAAAAATAAAGATTAAAAAAAAAAAGTGTTCCTTTACCTTATTACTTTCCTTGAAATCAGAGAATATAAATTTGAAGACCTTGAGTCCAATGGAGAAAAACAGTTCTGGTGGGCCCACACTGTGTTAAAAAAACAAAACAAAACAAAAACAAAAACACAAAACTTGAATGAATTGCTTGACAGTTGAAAGTTGGGAAATTGGCATAAAATTTGGGATGTGGGCTTTAAGAAAAGTTAAATTTAGCAATAGCGACCTGTTATTGCCACATGGTAACCATTAGCTGGAGAAAAGCGATGCTCATTTTAGATGGCACAGGCTTGCTCATTTGCCACAGTCCTCACTCAGCCCATGTGCTCATTTGGATTTCCACTCTTGGCGCTGTATACATTCCTGAGACTTTCAGGTCTGGGAGTGATTTACAAACCTGGTCTGCAAGCCCTGAGCTGTCTAGGGTAAAAGTCTCCACTGTTACAAAAACTTATTCAAAGCAATACTTCCTAAATAATGCTGATAAAGTCAGACCTGATTTGGAACTCAAAGACATGCTGGGGGAACGAACAGACAGCGCTGTCCCTCTGAAAATCAGGGGCGCCATGGGCAGACAGCTGGAACGAAGAACCTTCGAAGACTGGGACATCTTATGGGAAACTCTCAGGCTAGCGTTTGGAACTTGGTAGGAGGTTAATAAATATTTGTTTCTATCTTCCTAAGAGCAGATGCAGAGCACAGCAAGGAGGAAATGGAGCCAGAATAGTGTAATGCAATGCACAAAAGCACAGCATGCCAAGAGAGGAGAAGGGAGGAGGTAATTGTAGTCTAGAGAGCATTCGCAGCAACAGAACAAGCCTGGAGAAGTTAGAATGACAGGGCCAAGTACTATAATAACAGGGGACTGCATAACCATGGCATGATTCCGATAGATCTTTGCTAGTCACACATCTATATGGTGAGTAGAAGCATAAAGTCCACAGATGAAGGTAACATTAATCAAACAGAAATTCAGACAGAAATTCGCATCAAAATACTAGTGAGAAGACATTCAACCTGTTAGTGAAGGATTGCTGATTTAAAGTATAACAGAATATATACTTAAAAATACAGAGAATATATAAAGTGTGCAGAATAGCTGTATTCAGTTGAAATATAGAATTTCTCTACTTCGTTGAAACAAGTTAATGGTTTAAGGTTTTTATGTGTGTTTGGCTTACCAACGGTGTGGCTATAGTTATTGAAGTAATTTATTTCTAAAGCCTGAATTTTAAAAAATCAGTTAGTAACTGAAGTGAAATTTTCTGAAGTATCATGTCACTGTAGTAATAACATGTCAGAGAATGTTAGGCAAAGAGTGCCAAATGGCAGGGTGGAAGATTATAGATGTATTTTTTTTTTACTAGCCCTTTCCTTAGGGTCATGGCTAATCAGTCACTGTTCATACATAGGGTAGCTTTGGCAGTATTTATTTCTTTAAATATTTAACAGACTTGGGAGGCAGTGACTGGCAATAATATGCAGTTTCCAGCATGTTACCAGTGCTTAGTAAATGGTAAAACAATGAAATCCTGCATGATGAAAAACAGCAGTGAGTAAATCTATTATACCCAAAACCGTTTGAAAGCTATAGCATAGTGCGTTAAGTTATGGTAATAAAGGACATTTATACTCACTAAAAAGTTCACCCAGGTAAGTTCCTGTTAAATTTCTTCGGGGAGTGAGAGAAGGTATGAGAAATGTGGATGGAGTATGGATTTAAACAAAAACAAAACAAAACAAAAAAAAACCCAAAACCAACTTTTTTCTTTTTCTTTGTTTTTAATCCGGTGGACCTGTGCTGACCACAAACCGGGTAGCTATAGCCTATACACTGGCAGGGTGCTCCAAGAGCCTTTGAAACTCAAAACTCCCTCTAATTGAGCACCAATTAGCAAAACCTTCCAGATTTCTAGATACCTTCAAGCTTTGAAAGACTTGCTTTTGGAAGAGGAGGCACCCAGGTGCGTGTGCTACAGATGCACGCCGCTGCACAATGATACCGGGAAGGCAAATGCTCTCTAACCCTGAGAGGAAGTTCTTTTTTCTACATCTAAGGAAACTGGGACTTTTAGGCTAGGCTTGGGAACCTTGACGACTGCGTTTCCGGGATCCTGTGCAGCTTTCAGCAGCTAGAGAACTGGGCTGCAAGGGCTGAGAACCCCGTGCTATAAGTTTGGGGAAGGAAGCGAGAGAAAAAAAAAATAGAGCTGCTCCTTTAAGAACTTCCTTTCCCTTTTACTCTATGTTTACATAACACGGGGGCCGAGCCACCGTGGGGCCCGAGGGGGGCGGGAGGGGGTGCGGGCCGCCCCACGCGCCGGAGGGAGGGGGCGCCGGGCGTGCGGGGGGCAGCGCGCCTTCTGGCGGAGGGCTTGGCGGCTCCCACCTGCCCGCGCGCCGGCAGGGCGGCTCCGCGGTCCTGCCCCCGCCCCTCCCCCGCCCGCTGCCCCCGCCCCTCCGGTGCTGGCTTCCTCCCTCCTTCCCTGGCGGGGCTCCGGCGGCGGCGGCGGCGCTCGGCGCGGGCAGGTCCCCCTGCTGCCGGGTCCCATTTGTTGCCGAGTCCTGCTCCGAGCGGCGGTGGCGAGCGGAGCTCCGGGGAGCCCAGCGGGGCAGCCGCACAGCCACGACGGAGCAGCCGCGGGACTGGCCGCCCCGTGCCCCCTTCGCCGCCGTGCCCTTCCCCGGCGCGCTCACCCCGTTCTCAGGATGGGATTGTAGCGGCGGCGCGGACTCCGCGGGCATCGCGGCGGAGGAGGCGGCGGCGGCGGCGGCGGCGGCGGCCGATCGGGGCTCCATGTTTTCCCCCGGCGAGGAGGAGCACTGCGCCCCCAATAAGGAGCCTGTGAAATACGGGGAGCTGGTGGTACTCGGGTGAGTCCTGAGATCTCCGAGGCGGCGGGCGGCGAGCGCTGCGGGCTGAGTGACTGCCGGGCGCCCGCATCCGCGAGCGGGGCCAGGAGGGTGGCTCGGGTGCTCCCTAGGGACGGCTGGGGCGCTGGGGGCGGCTCGAGGGGCCCGGGCGGCAGGCGCCGGGGGAGCGGTGCCCGCCATCAGCGCGCGCGGGGCGCTGCAGAGACCACCGAGACGCGCTTTCCCGGCGGAGGACGGCGGCAGCCGAGGAAGTGGCGGAGCGGGGCCGGCCCAGGGAAGGGAGGGACTGTGGAGACCCCGCGTCCCGCAAGGCACTGCTCTCGGGGACCTAGTGCCCGTCTGTACCGCGGGGGACCCCTGCTCTACTTCCCCGCACGTCTTAGGGTCGGGGAGGGCGGCTAGGGGCCGGGCCAAGGCTCCACCGTCGCAGGCACCTCGCGGTGTCACAGGAGACCCCCCAGTTGGCGAAGCTGAAAGGCCGGTAGAGCCCGGTCCCCGGGGCCCCTCTGCCGGGGTGGACTGTGATCTCGGGTCCCGGAACTCCGAGCGCGGCGCTGCGGGCTTGGCCGCCGCAGGCAGCGGGATCTGCGCGGTGGGCGTCCGCGGGTAGCGCTTTGCATATTGTTATGGTGACCGCCGCGGGTCGCCGCCGCCGGGGGCTGTGAACTGTCTGTGACCTGGGCGGCAGGCTGGCCCTCGGCTCTCCCGGCCGCGAGTGTCCGCGGGGGGGGGGGGGGGGACCCTGAGCTGGGACGCGGCTGCGCCTGCCGAGGCTCCGGGACGCGGGGCCGCATCCCCTCGGTCCCGGGCCGCGGCCTCGCTGATGTGCTCCGGGCGGCGTGCAGCTCGCCCGCCTCGGCTCCCGCTCCGCTGTGAAAACCACATTTTGAAGATAGTAATTATCTACAATCGTTAAACGGCAGCAATTAGAGACTTCATCTACTTCCTGAGTTTCCTTGTGACATTTCTATTGTTTACCCTTAATAAGCCGGGAGGGAGGCTTCGCAGGATTAAAGCAGGATAAAGTGGGCAGTGAAAGGGGAGCAGAATGGGGAGGAGGGAAATGCAGGGAACTCGGGAGAGGAAGCAACTTGGGTTTAGTATTTAGGAGGAGAAAGGATTATGTTCCCCTTTGGATGTGTCACTCCTGGGAACCCGCGCTTTTGTCCTTCGCTCTTGAAAGACCCGTGTTCAGACCATCATCTGTGCTGTTAGGTAGGCTTCACACACATATGAGGAGCCGCGGGTATGCAAAAACTCAGGGAACTCTGAAAAAACGTGTTTTGATAACTGAATACCTTGAAGTAAGTGTGGGCTTAAACGTAATTTCGAAGAGAAGCATTTTTAAGAGAAGCTTCCAGACACAGTACAGCTGGAAGTTGTCTGTTCCTCCTCACTCTGTTGCTACAGTATTAAGTGGAATATTATTGAAAGTCTCATTACCTGCCTTGAAGTTTGCAGAGAAGCGGTTTTTCTCACCTGCATCTTAATTGTGCTGAAAAGACAGATGTCAGGGTTCACTGGAAGGAGGGGGGAGTGACGGGGGAGTTAGCGGGTCTTATGTAACCTCCGCCCAACCTAATTTTGTGGAGTTTGAGTTTGTTTGTGTGTCTGGCCTCAAAGTATGTTTAACGTACTCTGTGAACCTGACAGGAAAGATTAACTTCTGCCAGAACTTTATTTCATTATTTCCTTTTGAGGAAATCATTGTTGAGACGTTTCAGAAAAACATGGTGTGAGTGGACCCGGAGAGGTTTTGTGTTTCTAGCTGGAAGTGCAGGGCATTCCAAAGCAGTGGAAAGGATTTATACCCAGGATTGTCTTGGCTTACTCTAAAGTAGGCTATGTAAATGCATTGCTCATTGCGTGTGCTTTGTCCCTGACTAATGGTTTTCCAGGAGGCACTAAGAATGGCATAGTTGGCACTTTAATATTTTGGGCCAGACACTCGGCAGTTATATGTGTACCTATTGTGTGCCAGCACTACTTAGGGGTTGAGGATCCAGCAGTGAACAAAGAGCTTTCATTTTAGTGTGGAGGGACAGGGTAAGAGAAAGAAACATGTAAACAAATGGATGATAAATCACGATGTCAGGTGTTGCCAACGTCTCAGCAGAAAGTGGTTCACTTAGGGAGTGTCGACCCCAGGTAGGTATTGCTTTCTTTAGCTAGGGGTCAGGGCAGGTCTCTCTGAGGAAGTAAAATGGGAGTTGACATCAGACTATGGAGAAGATACTGGTCAGGTTTTTGAATACCTGAGAAGAATTGTGGACTTTTTCTGTTCTCTTCTCTTTCCTCTCTCTCTTTCTTTTTCTTTCTGTCTTCCAAGAGTAGATGTCTGACTCTAGAAATATTGAACACACTGAAGAATGCTGGGGAAGTAGTGAGTAGTAGGTAGACTTTTAAAGAGACCCTTACTAATTCATATTCTATTTGTAGGATTCAAGATATTGCCCTCCCTCTTAAAACAATAGTAACAGTCAAATAATTAATATCACCTTTGTATATCTGATCATCTGGGATGTAAATATTGATAGAGAATTTGTAGTAGGTTTTCTTATTGATAAAATTAGTGTTGATGTCTAAAAATGACCAATGTTGATATTGATAGAAGCTTTTGCCTATAAAATAGTGCTTTATTTTTATGTTTTATAACTACCTTTTTGTTTTCTTCTAAATTTCTTCCTTTCCCTCTCTTTTAAGTTTCATAGTAAAATGTTAGTGAGAAGTTCTGGCAAGCAGACTGAGGAACTGTATATATGTATATATGTGTATGTCTATATATGTGTATACATATATCTGTATGTGTGAAGAGGTTTATATGTATAGCTATTTGCATACAGATTTCTGCCTAAATCTATAGGCAAATAAGGGTCTTTTCATATACTATACTATACAGTGCTAGGAGAATTGCCAGATAGTTAGGATGTTAGTTGGGTCATCACCTTCTTGCTGGATTCATGGAATTTCATTATTCCTTGGTTCCAGCCAATGAACGCATCATGCCACAACCTTTTGTTGTGCCCATTACGTAATTCAGGGTAGAGAAAATGACAAGTCTACCTGTCAGGCCTTTCTTGCTATTCCTTTTAAACCTAGCTGACATGTTAAAGTTGGGGAAGGATGTCTAGATTTGAGAGGCAGTTCAGTGTAGTGGGGAGATCATAAAGGTACAGTCAGCAGTCCTGGATTGAATCTCTGCTTCCTTGCCAACCAGCATCCTGACTTTGGATTAGTCTCTTACCTTCTCTGTCTAAAGTGATAATGAAATATGATTGGATTAGGTAGTCTTAAGGGCCCTTCCTGGTCTATATCCTGTAATACTGCTCCTTGATTTAATGTGGAAAATGCATAGTTACCATTCTGTGTGTTGGTTTTGAATATTCTTAAGGTGATATGCTAGAATTCGAATGGGAACTGGCTTTAAATAGAAAATACCAACACTGTGAGTACTTTTTTAGAAGTAGGTATGTGCGAAACAGGCTTTTTCAAAAAGGTTGTAACGGTATACATATATTTGACTCTTTGGTGTTTGATTATATGTGAAGACATTCAGATTTGGTCAAACTTTCTGTTCCAAACTTAAGCAAGGCAATAATGTTTTGAAATTAAGCTAAATAGGCTACAAAAGCCAGCATAAGGAAGAGATAATCCGAAGATAGGATCTTAGACCTGGAAGGGACCTACAGGGTCATGGTATACATTTAGCCCTTTTATTTTTACTGACGAAGAAGAAGAAACTGAGGCTCCCGGAAGGAAGGAGATTTGTTCATGTTCACAGTTGAGCTGGATCCCTGCACTGCCTGGTCACTGCTGTTTTCCCACGTCAGACTCCAGCAGTGCTGTCACTTCCTCAAGGCTTCGAGTTTTCTGTAACTTGCATGGGGGGAGCAGAATCCCTTTCTGGATTCAGTTTGAAGCATGCAGCTCGCTTGCTGACTAAGGGCCCATCCATGGTTTTTTAGGAAAATGTTGCACAGTTGAATGGATAATATGTTTTGCCAGGCTTTATTTTTAACTTGATGCTTCACCAAATATATTTTTATTGGCTCTCCCAAACCCAGCCATGGGGTTTTAGGGTCCTCAGATGGAATTCAGGAAGCCCTGAACTTGGATGAGGCAGGGATGACTCTCTATTTTCACTATAGTCAGACTGAAATGTAGGATTTCACTCAATTATGAGTATAGACAACTAATAGAACTGCTACTAAATTTGTTTTTGGTGCATTAATATAGAAATGCATGTATTATCGTCTCATAATTTAAAACTGTCTTGATAACTAGGTATAATTATTTTTACTTGTAGTCCTTTGTGTTTTATTTTACGTATTTAAACCATTTTTCTGAGAAGGGTTCAGTAGGCATTACCAGACTGCCAAAGGGATCCTTGGTGCAAAAATAGGTTAAAAACCTCTACGTATGAGTACTTATAAACATGATGGAAAACAAAGTATTTTAGTGGAAACTGATCAAGGTCTTCAAAAGGCTAAAAGGTCAAGGGGTGGGGGTGGGGCCTGCCTTATTTCCTTTGGATGGTGCGGCATTCTGTCAGATAAGACAAAGGACACTGTTGCCTGAACAGTTTTATGGCCTTTATATTTTTAAACAAGCAGCTCCAGATTTCTATATGCTGTTTTTGTTTTAACCTTGGCACTTTGCCTTGACTACTCCTCCCCTCGGTAGTAATAAGAAACCTTAAAATACGCCCTAATACTTTTCCTTTTCTCATCCTCCTCTCTAATTTGGGCCCAATGACTTCAAACACCAGTATCCTTTATAAAGTTAAAGGTCTTTTTTTTTTTTTTTCATAGGTAAAACTAAATCTTTACTGCCACTCAGTGTGTGGGGGTGATCTGAAGAGCTCAGATCTGTTTGTGTGGACAGAGTGTCTAATTCTGTAGGCTATTAAGGGTCATGATGTTACTAGCTTTGGGTTGCTATATTTTCCTTTACTAACTTTAGCCTTGTTTGGCGTATGTGGCTGGCTGTGTGGTTTCTCG